TTGTTCACGTCTAAAGACCTAGCGCAAAAGCATTCTGCCCCCATCTTCAAAGTTCAACCGGACTTATGCATAATTAAAAAATTTCAAAGCCAAACGTTCTTCTTCAAACGTATTTGAAGAAAACAAACAAGTGTGTTGATGTACAGTCCTTTTCAATGATCAAACTGTTCGGCGTGAGTTAAAAATTGTGATTTTTAATCCAAGTGGTGGTTGCGACCGAGTACAATATTGAAGTGGCGATAAAGTCAAGATCGAGTGATTTGATTCCACTTCTACAACAAGTTAAAAGAAGAAAAAACAATTGGGTTGTTCTTAGATTTCTTTTGATTTTTTTTATAATTTTTGTGAAATTACAAAACTGAGACTATTATATTTTTTATCATTTGATTTAGTAGATTATTTTACCTGTGGCATGGGGGCCCGTAATTGTTTCCCTTTGGAGTTTATCACATTATATTTGGTGTTCATATTTTAATATGTTAGTTAATTTTCACAATTAATTAAAACCCTAGAACACATCCTATACTTACTAGTCAGCACTGTTAGAAAAATTATTATGGGATTGTCCGTTGTTTAGACTGAAGAATTAAAACGGATTTTGATTTCTCTAGGTTTTAGAATTTACACCATCTTTAAAAATTAGCATCGAACATTTCCATCTATGAAAATTAATTACGAATGCCATGTAGTATCATATTTTAATTAAATAACTCTAAATAGAATTTTAACTCTAGTTTATCTAGTAAAACAAAAAATAATAAATGCCTTGTTGTTAAGGAGAAAAGGAGTGCCTGTATTGTTGTTGTTTCCTCTTGGTACCTTAAAAATTGAAGCAAACATTCATATAGTAACAAGTATAGCTTGAAGCATGCAGGATGAAGAGGTGTCCTTCATCCATTTTATCCACTCTTGACTAGCCCTAGTGTTCCTCTGTAAATACCATATGGGGTGTTCTACGTTCTGAGTCTTTGTTAAGATTCCAAATGCAGTTTTTAGAACACTATCAGAACCTGAAATTATAGGGCTGTTTGATTGATGAAAACTGAAGAAGAATTGCAATACTAGAACAGAAAGTATAGTCATTCGAGCGGGCTATCACTCTCATAAAGGTCTCTCTCTTCTCTACATAGAAGCCTCCTCCTACCTTTATTTATAGCTATTTCCTAACTAATTCCCTCCCCTACTTGCCCTTGTAACATAATTCTATTGATGCACATACTTCTCAATTCTTCCATGCTCTTCTAGAATTGGAGACCTATCAGTATTTCATATCCTCGTATAAAGGCTGAATATTCTTCTCGACTTCTTTGAATGTTAAAAAGAAGAATAATCAAAGCGCATGGAAAGAACTACNCATAGCCTCGGATAAAGGCTGAATATTCTTCTCGACTGCTTTGAAGGTTAAAAAGAAGAATAAGCAAAGCGCATGGAAAGAACTACAATTAATTTAAACAAGGAAGAAAAAAGTGTGTTAATAATTTTGATACTTGCCTTAAACCAGAGCAACTCTGGTTGCATTTGAAGTGCTGCACCAGAAAAAATGTTGTTTATTTAAAGGAGCCAAGTGCAACATGTTACAATAATTGGTATTCTTATATCATATGATGTGATCAGTTATTTGTGTGTTCTTATATCACCTATGTCATAAAGAAATTTAAAGATCTTTTCTTGGCAATGAATAACCGAAATGTGAAAAGTGCTTCGACTTTGCTCATAACCTTTCCAAATGAATTCTACGTACCAACTCCAAGGCTTGGGATTGCATAAACTTTTTCTCCATAATTGGATCCCTAGAGTTATAAGGGAACAAAAATCAATCACTAAAATTGATGAAGATGCTTGTAATGGGACTTGTAATGCATACCATACCCGTTAAGTCCATAATACGATTGAGCAGTCTGAAGGTGCTAGTCCGGCCAGACTTGTTCCACAGTTTTGCACTCACGCCTGAAATATAACTATGGTTTATTGATGGTAGATTTATAGACTGGAATATAACTATGGTTTTTTTGTCCCATGGCATGTGAAGATGACGATGTTTATTGCTAAGTTTTAGAGTGTCTATATGTTATGAGCTGAGGTGAGGGTTGTGATCTGATTGATTTGTCAGGACTGTGAGAATCAAACAACTATATTTAGTTGTCTTAATCCAAGACTTCCGGAAAATTAATGCTGGTAACAATTTAAATAGAAATGAAAAATCTTACAGGGGTAAACACATCATTGCCAGATTCCTAGTTTACTTTTGCCTGAAAATGCTGAAGGCTTTCGTGCTTGAACATGAAGCGTTGTCTCGCTATTGGGATCTCGTTTGTTCACTACTTCTTGTTTTTCTTGAAGTAATCTCAGAGCAACATCTGAAAATAGTTGACACTTTAACCTCATGTATGTTTTTTATCTAATATTTTTATTTTTGTTTACTAATCGAATATTATCTCACCATACAAATCAGAACTTATAGTTGCAATTAGTAGCGCAACGTAATCGTCTTTGGTAAGAGATTGGCTGCCCGTTACTGATAGAAGATACCAGACCATGTCTTCATATCCTAATAAAGCAGCCATGTGCAGGGGTATCACCCCATTGCTACCTCTTATAGTAAGCAACTGTTTTTTTGCTACCATTAACTCAGCAATTCTTGTAATACCAGATGCAACTGCAAAAGCAAAGTGTGGTATTTTCATGCTTTTTTAATCAATTCTTCAACAAATTTTATCTGTTTTGCCCCTACAGCAATATGAAGAACTGTTTCCCATCCTTTCGTTATCCTGGCAGTTATTGCACGAGGATGCAGACCAAAAAATTATTTTGATCTTTCCCAATCACACTTGAGTGGAGCACGGTGTAGAGGCACATACTTTGCTAGATTCCTGGTGGATTTAGTCCCTCCTGATGTTAATGAACAAGAGTCCCAAGTCTCAAAATCGATACAACTCACAACATTTAAAATGATCTTTATATTGCCGCAGCAATATGAAGAACTGTTTCCCATCAATTCTCTCAAGAACTAGAATCTACTTTTTTCGTACTTGA